CCAATTGAGGATGTGTTCAAAATGTGGTATATGTGTTAGAAATGTTAAGACTTCATGTCAAGATCGAATAAAGGTTGTTATGCCAAATTGTATAAAAAGCCTCTATATGCTTAGGATTTCCAAATTGCTCATATGTGCACTAATGCCTTAAATGGTAGGCTTTATTGTTGATAATGATAATAATGATGTTTGAAAGTGGAAAGGGGAAACTAGAATTATGAAATACGGCTAAGTGCCAAGAATGACTTTCTAATTGAGGCCACTCATGGCAATGAATTCAAAAGATGTGAAAGAAGTATGAAGTGAGATGATTGATTGAAAAGGTAATGTCTCGGGTGAGACGGCCTAGCCGATCGGGCCGTGATCAGATGCCATGCCGCACACATGGTGGTGACTATGCTGGAAATGATAATTGAAATTGTGGTTATGGTTGATGTCTCAAATGAGACGACCTAGCCGATGGGGTCGTGATCGGACTCCACGTAAGAATACAGTGGTATTGTGAATTATGGTATATCGGCTCTAAAGATAATCGAATCTAATAACATGGAAATTGACTTGAAAACTTATGTGATCCTTACTTGACGTTTTAGTATTGTTTGAAGCTCTTATTGAACTCATGACTGTTTCCTCCTTGTATTATTATTCATTCTATTAAGATGGTGTTTAGTTTTACATACTAGTACAATTCGACGGTACTAACGTTCCTTTTGCCGGGGGCGCTGCATCTTTAAATGGATGCAGGTGGTTCCATTGCAGGCAGCGTTGATCAGTGATAGTGGTACATCCTCTTCCCAACAGACTTGGTGAGCCCCACTTCATCTCGAGGTCATGTATTGTATCTTTTGTTCATATTATTATCTCCTTTTCAGGTATAGCCGGGGCTTGTTGCCGGCACTATCATAACACTCTTTTGCATATATTAGAGGCTCCGTAGACACTATGTGGATTGTACATGGGTGCTAGAAAAGTAAAATAGATTATGTTGTGTTTTGATCTCTTGTTCCACTCGAATCATAAGAATGTGTGTATCTTGAAACTTAAAAATGATGTAACCAATGAGACGATTTAGTATTGTATATATGATCTTCCTACTGTCTAATTAATAAAATCATGTCTTCTCTTGATCATGGGTAAGTTGGGTATAAAGTATCTAACAGGCTTGCTCGACCAGGTTTACTCGGTTGAGCACCGGTCACGCTCCCCGCGGTTGGGGCATGACAGTAACAATTAAAGCTTCGAATGAGTAATAACATGGAATAAAAGAAGGCATGGCATAAATGAAAAGAGGTAATTAAGAAGTTCGCCCCGCATGCTTAACTCATGACGACGCATATGCACTCGTCACCTTGCATATACGCCGTCCCCACACATAAATCACGGAGCAAATAGACCAATCAAGTCCTAATTTCCTCAAGTCAAGGTTAACCATGACACATACCTCTTTTCGGAATCAACTCAACAATCAATCATGGCTTTTCCTATAGAACAAGCCTCCAAACCAACCAAATCTTGCCAATTATCATTCAAAAAATCCAAAACAAGCTTTAGAAACTACCCACGAATGAAAAAAGGTTCAATCTTTACTAAATTTAAAAAGTCAACAAAAGTCAACCCCGGGCCCACGTGGTCGAAATCTGAGATTCGGACCAAATGCCGATTAAACATTCACCTCTGAGCCCCATTATGTGATTTGTTTTGAAAACTGACCTCAATTCGAGGTCTATATCTTAATTTAAAAATTCCCAAATTTTACCCAAAACCCCTAATTTGCACCTTGAAATTAATAGATTTGATGAAGAAATGCATGTAAAAGTTATTGAAATTGATTGAAAAGTAGATAAACTTGCTTACTAATGAATTTGGGAAGAAAATCTTCAAAACAAATCGTCTCTAGAGAGTTTAGGGTTGAAAAAATGGTGTAAAAATGAGCTAAGTCCGAAATTCCCCACTTTTACCCAGCTGCAGACGTCGCAGTTGTGAACTCTTGTTCGCATTTGCGGTGTCCGCAATTGCAAAACACTCATCGCAAAAGAGACAAGTGCAACAGTGCCCCAAATGTCGCAAATACGACTAACACCTCGCATTTGCGAAGCCTCCAACCATCGCAAATGCGGTTCAAATTTCGCTTATGCGAAGCTGTACAAATTCTCAAGTGATCGCAAAAGAGACGAAAAGGTCGCAAATGTGGTGCACACCCGTCCACAAATGTGAAGGATCCTTCGTGAAAGAGAAACCCAGCCCCCAGTTTCCTCTTCGCATTTGCGAGCCTAACATCGCAAATGCAAGGCTCGCAATTGCGGTCAGGTCCTCGCAAATGCGAGACCTGCAAATTAACACCAACAACATTTTGTTCATCAGTAGTTCCAACATCAACCAAAACGCATCTGAAACTCACCCGAGCCCCTCGGGCCCTAATCCGAACATGCACACAAGTGTAATAACATCATAAAAACTCACTTGCTAACTTATATCATCAAAATAATATGTAGAATCACGAATCGATCAGTAAAACTCAATAATTTCAAGTTTAAAACCAAAATTTCCAATCTTCCACATAATGCACTGAAATACCCTCGGGTCACTCAGGACCCCAATTGAAAATGCGTACAAGTCCAAAAATATCATACGAACCTAACGGAATCGTCAAAACACTAATACGAGGTCATTTACCAAAAACATTGTATTTGGTCAATTCAAGCCTCATTTAAGGTAAATAATCACATTTTCTTTAAAATTTCACATTCAAACTTTTTGAAAAATGAAACGGACCACGCATTCAAGTCATAAATAATATAATAAATCTACGGGAGGTCTCAGAACATAGGAAAATGAGCTAGTGCTCAGAATGACCTATCGGGTCATCATATTCTCCCCCTCTAAATAAATGTTCATACTGGAACGGACATAGAAATGTACATGGACTGGTAAAAAGGTGCGGGTACCTTCTCTTCATATCTTACTCAGACTCCAATGTAGCCTCCTAGATCGGCTGACCTCTCCATTGCACTTTCATAGAAGGAAACTTCTTATACCTCAATTTTCAAACTTGCCGGTCTAGAATAGTCACCAACTCTTCCTCATTGGTCAAATTCTAATCAAGATGCACTATGCTGAAGTCAAAAACATGTGACCGATCTTCATGGTACTTTCGAAGCATGGAAACGTGAAATACCGGATGTACCTCTGATAGGCTAGGAGGCAATGCAAGCCTTTAGGCAACCTCCCCAACTCTCTCCAAGATGATAAATGGGCCAATAAACCTCAGGCTCAACTTTTCCTTCTTCCTAAACCACATCACGCCCTTCATAGGTGACATTCGGAAAAGAACCTTCTCACTATCCATGTAAGCCACACCCCAAACCTTTCGGTCAGCACAACTCCTTTGCCTGGACTGAGGTGTATGAAGTCACTCCTGAATCACCTTAACCTTTTCTAAAGCATCATCGACCAAATCAGTGCCCAATAATCTAGACTCACCGGGATCAAACCAACAAATCAGCGAATAACATAGCCTGCTATATAAGGCCTCGTACGGAGCCATCTGGATGCTCGATTGATAGTTGTTGTTATAGGCAAACTTTGCTAGAGGTAAAAAGTGTTCTGACTAACCCTCGAAATCCATAGAGCATGCCCGCAACATGTCCTCCAAAATCTGAATAATGCGCTCAGTCTGAGGATGAAATGCGGTACTCAAATTGACCTACGTGCCCAACTCACGCTGCATGGATCTCTAAAATGCAATGTGAACTGCGTGCCCTGGTGGGATATGATGGAAATAGGCTCGCCGTGCATGCAGATAATCTCTCGGATGTAAAATTGAGCCAACCGTTCTAAATAATAAGAAGTATCACCAAAATGAAGTGTGCGGATGTAGTAACCTATCCACAATAACCCAAACTACATTGTATATCCTCAGGGTCTGTGGTAAGCCTACCACAAAATCCATAGTGATGCACTCCCACTTCCACTATGGTATCTCCAATCTCTAAGTCCACCCACCCGATTTCTGATACTCATACATCACATGTTCACAATTCAAACACCGAGAGACATGACTAACTATATCATTCTTCATCTTCCGCCACCAATTGTGCTATTTCAAGTCATGGTAAATGTTTGTGACACCTGGGTGAATGGAATAGATCAAACTCTCAACCCATCAACATTTGGAACATAAATCCGGCCTTGAAGCCACATAACACCATCATCTCCAATCACAACCTCTTTGGCACTATCTAGCAATCCCCTTTGAGAGGGTGCTATTTACGAAACAAATCTAATTTACTACTTACAACATTAAGAAGATATTAATCCAAAAAGACATTCAGAATAATTTAGTAGGGGAAATAGGCCCATGCGATAAAGGTTCAAAGTGCAATATTTTTATTTTTTTTAAATTCCTTTTTTATTCGCACCCTTCAAAAGCTCCCCACCTTGCTCTTGGGGTGACTCGAACTCACAACCTATCGGTTGGAAGTGGAGGGTGCTCACCACTTGAGCAACCCACTCTTGTCAATATTTTTGTTTTTGAAAATACACTTCATAATTGTTTTTTTTAAGTTTTGGTATCAGAGCCTAGGTTTGTGATTCTAGGATTTTTGTTGTGATCGTACCTAGTATTTGTTTTTATTTCCTTTCTTGAAAATGACTCAGAGATTATAAATTTTTGCATACTTTCTTAATGTAATTTGTTGTATTCCTTATTCATATGCATTATGTACATGTCCCTAATGCAGTGTGATATTATATTTTATAGGAATTTTAATATTGTCTCCTCTTCGAATAGAGCTATTGAATTCGTTGATGAAAGTCAGGCCCATTATAATGCTCCACCTCACCTCTAGGAAGGAAATGAGGAACCCTTACCTAACCTAAATTATCATCGTGTTATTTAAAATGAAGTTGGCAATAATCCAAGAGCAATGAGTCATAGTACTCCTATTATGACTCCTCCAATTTAGCATATGACTGAGTTTTTTCGTCACTTGGCTGGGACAATGTCAGAACCTAGTGAAATGAATTTTGAGAAGATGAGAAAAATGGATGGAGTTAAATTTGAAGGCACTACTGATCCCACGATATCTGAACAATGGCTCGAGCGCATGGAGAGGGTCTTTGAACAACTAGAGTGTACTAATGTTGCCAAATTTAAGCATTCTATCTCTCTTTTACAAAAGGATGCCTATGATTGGTGGGTAAGCGTGCCAAATGCAAAAGCAAAACCTCCGGTGCTTACTTGGGATGACTTCGTGAAAGCATTTCATAAATATGTTCCCCCTGTCTATTGCGATGCTAAGAAAAAAGATTTTATGAATTTAAGAAAAGGGTGTATGTATATTGCAGAGAATCAACAAAAATTTCTCAGGCTTTCTCGTTATGCTGGAGGTATTATTGATGATGAAAGAGACAAGTGCAGAAGATTTGAATGGTTCAAACCAAAAATCTGTGGCAATCTTGCAACTTGAGGATTTTTCCAAGCTAGTTTCAGCTGCTCTTACTTGGGAAAGAATTGACAAGGAAGAAGCTAGTAGGAGAGAAAACAAGTTTAGGAAGGGTAATTCAGATTATGGCGGTCCATACAAGAAGGGAAAGTTTGACTATTCCAAGACTGAAAGTGCAAAGAAGTCATCATATCATAAGCAGAATAAGCCAAATTTCTCTACTTATAGTACTCCAAATTATGGCCAAGGCAAAACTTATACACCTACTTGTGCACAGTGCGGGAAGAATCACTATGGTGCCTACAGAAGAGCTTCTAGTGCTTGTTTTAATTGTGGAAGTCAGGATCATAAAGTAAAGGATTGTCCTAATCCTGATCCTCTTTCTTCTACACATACAGAGGGATCAGTTCAAAAGCCTATCACTACTCATTCTCAAGCTAATAGCGGTGCAAGACCTAGAAATATTCAAGAAGCAGGTTCGGGTGGAGTTAATCAGGGTACTGGGTCGAGAGCTATTTCACGAGTCTATGCTATGAGATAAAAAATGGTCAAGATGGCCCAGATGTGGTTGTTGGTAAATTTCCCTTATTTGGCATATCTGTTGTTACATTATTTGATCTTGGATCTTCACACTCTTATGTTTGCTCATCACTTGCGATTCTCAATACTGTTAAATATATGAGACTTGACTTTGATGTGCTTGTCACGAGTCCATTAGGGCATCAAGCTGTTATTAACAGGATTTACCAAGATTGTCCATTCATGATTCAAAATCTAGAAATCCCTGCAGACTTGCTTGAAATGCCCTTCCAAGACTATGATTTTATTGTTGGTATGGATTGGCTCCATAGGCACCATACATTGGCTGATTGTAGGTTGAACCAAGTGACTTTTAAACTCCTGCATATTCACACATAGCAGTTCAAGGAGAAAGATCATTGACATCCAATATTATTTCTGTGGTCTTGGCAAGGAAGATGATTCGTCAAGGTTGTGATGCATATCTTGCTCATATAGTTGATACACGATTGGGGAGTCCATGTCTTGAGGACATACCAACCATGTGCGACTTTCCTTATGTATTTCCTGATAATCTTCCTGGGTTTCCTCCAGAAAGGGAGATTGAATTTCCTATAGAGCTTGTCCCTGGAACTACTCCTATTTCTATCGCTCCTTATAGAATGGCTCCAGCTGAATTAAAAGAGTTGAAGGGTCAATTGCAAGAACTTCTTGAGAAAGGTTTTATCTGTCTTAGTATTTCTCCTTGGGGAGCTCGTGTTTTAATTGTGAAAAAGAAAGATGACACTTTTAGGCTTTGCATTGATTACTAACAGCTGAACAAGGTAACAATCAAGAACAGATACCCACTGCCTAGAATCGATGACTTGTTTGACCAACTGAAGGGTGCCAGCTTGTTCTCAAAAATTGACTTGAGGTCTGGATATTATCACTTGCGAGTGAGGGAGCAAGATGTTTTTAAAACTTATTTTAGGACCAGGTATGGCCATTATGAATTTTTGGTAATGCCATTTGGTTTGACAAATGCTCATGCTGCATTTATGGATCTAATGAACCGTGTATTCAAGCCTTACCTTGATCAATTTGTGGTGGTATTTATTGATGACATTTTAGACTATTCCAAGAATAGAGAAGATCATGATAAGCATCTCCGGATTGTCATGCAAATTCTGAAGGAGAGGCAACTCTATGCGAAGCTTTTCAAATATGAATTTTGGTTGAGTGAAGTGGCTTTTGGGGGGTATATTTTATCATCTAAAGGTGTGAAGGTTGATCCTAGTAAGATTCAAGCTATTGTTGATTGGAAACCCCCTAAAAATCCAACTGAGATCAGAAGTTTCTTGGGTTTAGCAGGATACTATAGGAGGTTCGTGAAGGGTTTCTCTATTATAGCTTCTCCTTTGACTAAACTTTTGGGGAAAGACGCCAAGTTTGTGTGGGATGACATGTGTCAACAGAGCTTGGAAAAGCTCAAATCCTTGTTGACACAAGCTCCAATACTTTATTTCCCAGCTGAAGGGAAAGATTATGCTATATACAGTGATGCATCTCACCGTGGCTTGGGTTGTGTTTTGATGCAAGAAGGGAAAGTAATTGCTTATGCCTCTCGAAGGTTGAAATCGCATGAGTTGAATTATCCCACTCACGATCTTGAACTTGCTGCCATTGTTTTTGCCTTAAAAGTTTGGAGGCATTACTTGTACGGGGAGAAGTGTCATATATTTACTGGTCACAAGAGTTTGAAGTACATGGGTACACAGAAAGAGTTAAACTTGAGACAACATAGATGGCTTGAACTCATCAAAGATTATGATTGCACGATTGATTATCATCCTAATAAAGCCAATGTGGTTGCAGATGCGTTGAGTCGCAATTCCCTTGCAAGTTTAACTCTAAGTCCTTTGCCTTTGCTTCTTGAATTAAGAATCATAAATGCATGTCTTTCATTTTATTCTAATAGTTCTATCATTTCTAATTTGCAAGGAAAGCCAGTCTTACTTAAGCAGGTCCAAGAAGCGCAAAAGTTTGATGAGAAGCTTGTGAAACGGGTTGAAGAAGTCCAAAATGGAAGAGAGTCAGATTTTACATTGAAGAAAGATGGTACCTTATTTTATAAAAATAGGTTGTGTGTTCCTAATGATTATGAATTGAGGAAGGAGATCTTGATTGAAGCACATAGTTCACCTTATGCAATGCATCTTATAGGTACTAAAATGTATCGAACCATCAAGGAGCACTACTGGTGGATTGGTATAAAGTAAGACATTGCAGAGTTCATTTCTAAATGCTTGGTTTGTCAACAAATAAAAGTTGAACATCAAGTCTCAGCTGGTCTACTGCAACCCTTGCCAATACCTGAGTTGAAATGGGAAAGGATAACGATGGACTTTATTTCTGGACCTTCACGTACTCAAAGGAATCATGATGCGATTTGGGTCATTGTAGATAGACCAACTAAGAGTGCTCATTTCTTGGAAATCATAATGGACTACTCACTGGAACATTTGGCATAATTATACATTAATGATTAATGTGAGACTGCATGGAATCCCTGTTTCTATTGTGTCTGACAGAGATCCGAGGTTTACATCCAGATTTTGGTCTAGCTTGCAAAAAGCTTTGGGTTCCAGGTTGAATTTTAGTACTACTTTCCATCCACAAAGAGATGGCCAGTCTGAGAGGGTAATACAAATCTTGGAGTATATGCTTTGAGCCTGCATTATTGAGTTTGAGGGTAGTTGAGACTAACACTTAGACCTGATAGAATTTGCTTACAATAATAGCTACCAATGAAGTATAGGCATGCCTCATTATGAAGCTTTATATGGGAGAAAATGTATAACACCTCTTTGTTGGAACGAGGTTGGTGAAAGAAAATTGGTCGGTCTTGAGATTGTGCAACAAACTGAAGATAAGGTAAAAATCATCAAGGATCACTTAAAAATTGCTTCAGATAGACAAAAGTCTTATGCTGATCTTAAGAGGCGTGATATTAAGTATCAAGCGGGTGATAAGGTATTCTTAAAGGTTTCTCCATGGAAGAAGTATATGAGATTTGGCCAAAAAGGTAAACTTAGTCCTCCATTTATTGGACCCTATGAAGTGCGTGAGAGAGTTGGCCCAGTTGCTTATAAACTAGCTCTTCCACCAGAGTTAAACAAGATCCACAACTTTTTCCATGTTTATATGCGTAGAAGATACTGCTCAGATCCATCTCATATTCTTCCTATTGAATCTATTGAGGTCAATCCTTATTAGACATATGGAGAAGAACCAATCCAAATCTTAGCGCGTGAGATAAAAGAGATTAGAAATAAGAGAATCCTCTTAGTGAATGTTCTTTGGAGAAATCATTCTGGCAAGGAAGCTACTTGGGAGCGAGAAGAGGATATGCGAGTTCAATATCCACACTTGTTTCGGGACTAGTATAAGGTAAATTTCGGGATGAAATATTTTTTAAGGAGGAGGGAGTTGTAACACCCCAAAGTTTTAACTGATATTTGCATTCTCGATTGAGCATATTTATAATGAAGATAGATTTTACGTCGTACTTCCTAAACGTGAATTTGACAATATATAAAAATTTCTTACTTTAGGCTGTGTTAATATGGATATTGCTATGTGTAATACTTATTATTATTTTGATGAATTGATATTAAATACATTAGATATTTAAGGTTTTGGGCTACCACCCTTTTTGTATTTATCCAAATAAGAAAGGTTGGCCAACCACCTTTTGTTCATCCTCGTCTATCCTTAAAGACCTCCTCTCATAGTTCATTTTTTCATGCCAAAGAAAACCCCTACCCTCTCCTCGTCTTATCACCTGAAATACTTTATGATAACCATAAGAAATTTTCACTAAACCAACCAGCAAAACTTGTTCTTGGTGCTCCTCTCTTTTGTGGTAAGTTACTAAACCTGTTTTTACACTAGACAGATATTAGTGTTTTCTTCGTATCTTCTTGTATAGGGATCTGTTTTAAGTGATCCAAGCTTGTCTGGAAAGATATTTCATAGATCTATAACTCTTATTTAGGCACCAAAACCTTTTTTATCTTTTATTCTTCCAAAAATGGCTGATGAAGTACAAGGCAGGTGCCGCCCAGATTTCTGTTTTACAAACCCTCTGTGTACTACTGTTAGTATTTTTAGCATAACGTTTTGTACAAAACCAATATGGGGTGATTCAAGATTTTAGGAAATGGTAAGACATATATCTACAACTTTAATGAAGGCCACATAGTCTAGTTTGTCCATTTTCATCTTCAAAACTGAGTCACAACACAAAACACTGGTACTGTCCAGAATTTCTGTTTAAACATTTTTGGGTAATTTGCACCAATATCATGCTTAGTTTGACATGTTAAATCNTATATATATATATATATATATATATATATATATATATATATATATTTGATTGTGTATTTAAGGTATATATACCCTTGTAAAAGTTAAGGGGAAGTGTTTGAGAAAGTGGACGGATTTGGTTTGACTATGGCGTAGACGATTCGAACGTCCTCAAGTTGTGGTTGAACTGTTTTGTGGTAAAACACCAAGGTTTGTGTATAAACTTTGTACTCTTTTTAATTGCTGGAATATTTTGAAATAACCTGATATTTTATTTTTCTTGTCATCAATTTATATCGTTTTATTCATGTTATATCAAGTATTGTAAGATATTCGCAAAATCGCCCACTCGTACGGAATTTTTGCATTCTTGTTGGGGCTTTGTCCTTTTTGTGGAAGTGACTTAGTCGCTCATCTTGGAATGCCTCTTGATTCGGTTATTTTTCCATCTTGAATTTGGATTTGTAGTTTGTCTTAAATTATGAAACTTATCCGTATTAAGTACGAACTAGGAAGCCATTTTTAATATGGTTCTTGATTCTCTTGAATATTGGGTTTTGACCTTACTTGATTTGGGGCATGGTCCACCTTAATATCTGATTATGCTTAGTGTGATGGCATGACTTACATATTGGGCGAAAAATGGATATTTGGCAAACTTTCTTGGAT